ACCGTCGCCGGCGCGCTCGTGCGCAGCGGAGGAAGGGATCGAGCTGAAGGGACGAGTGCGGCACTCGCTGCAAGCAGGGTGGCGAGCATATACACACAGCACCTCCACCTGCCAGCCTGCTGGTGCCTGGCTCACGTGAAGAGCCAGCCCGACCCGTTGTCATTCCGGCGCGATTTATTTCTTCAAACGCAGAGATGAATTGGACCTCCCTGCTCCTCGCTTGCGCGGCCGTGGCGCGCGCAGCAGAGGATGCCCCATCGCCGCCGGCCAACAACCCCATGCAAGGTACTCCTTCGATCGAACTGACCTCACGCACGCACCGAAATCGCGCTCCCCGATCACGCCGCTCAGCTCACATCTCGCTTGCGCTCGCACCTCACGCCGCTCACGCCTCAAACTGACCTCACCCCGCGATCGCGGCTCAGCTAATACCGCCTCGCTCGCGCACTCGCGGCCCACGTCCGAGAGCCGCCCACGATCGCGTGGCCGCAGACCCGGCGATGATGCAGAGCGCGCTCAAGATGATGCAGAACCCGCAGATGATGGAGCACATGAAGGTGATGATGAAGGACCCGGCGGTCAAGGAGCGGATGAAGCGCATGCTGCAGAAGCTCGGTCCGTCGGCCGCGATCGGCGGGGGCGCGGCGGCGACAGACGACGAGGCGATCGAGGCGATCTGGGAGCGGATGCAGGCGGCGCTCGCCGATCCGGAGCGGCTGCAGAAGCTCTCCGAGACGGCGAGCTCGGAGCAATTTCAGAGCCGGATGAAGCAGCTGGCGGAGGATCCGGAGTTCGCCTCGGCGGCGGGCGAGTACGTGGATGAGATGAAGGAGGAGCTGTCGTCCGAGCTGCTGGCGGGCAGGGCGGGCGCGGCGGGCGAGGCCGGGCTGGCGCTCGACGACGAGGACAACGACGAGGAGGAGGACGCGGGCGACGAGGAGTGATGACAGGAGGGGCGAGGCGCCGTTGGTTCCGTTACGGTAATAAAAAGAAATCATATTGCGGGGGAGGATACCGGGAGCACTTGGAGAGAGTCGGTCGGCCTTCGAGCTGGCGAAGCCGGGAGTGACGCGTGGACAGCAAGCTTGTCACTGACTGCTACAGATGAACGAGAAGGTCGGCTACCCTGCGGCGCGGCGGGCTCGCGCGGGTTCGATGACGTCTTCCGCCGGCGACGTCATTGGAGCGCTGCACAAGCCGCCTTCGATGGCGCCGGCTGAGAAGGTCGCGGCGGACATGCGACTCATGCGCGTCCTCCTGCTAGACGCAATCGCCCCCAAGCCCAGCGCAAATGCGCCCGGCGAGTACGACGTGCTCAGCTCGAGTGAGCCGGAGGGCCACCTTCCGGCCGGCTCGCCGCTGGGCAGGCCGGAGCAACAGCCGGCGCTGGAGCGTGCGATGAGCAGCGTAATGCTCGACGGGCTGCCGCGGCTGCCGGCCAGCGTCACCGAGATGCTCACCGAGGTGGGCTCCCTCCCGCAGGACGCGGCCGAGAGCCTGAGGCTGATGAGCGAGCGCGCCGGCAACATGGACGCGAGCACGTTGCTCTCGTCCGCCCAGTTGCTCGGCGAGCTGATGAGCCAGGCGAACCTCGCGCTCGCCCAGCAGACCGTGCGCGCGTGGCGGGCAAACCTGCGCGCCGACGCGGGCTGCACGGAGGACACCTCCACCGGCGCGGTGGTTGGGAACCAGACCTTTCGGATGGCCTTTGACGCGCTCCTCGCAAGTGGCCGCGCCGCCGCCGAGATCCGCGACGCAATCTCCGAGCAGGAGATCGAGATTGTGCTGACGGCGCACTCGGG